CACGTCCCAAAAGCTGTATACAGCCTCTGTATCACGGCGCACTCCATTCAGTTTTGTTTTTATCTCCACGTAACCAATGTTACATTTGATTTTGGCAAGACCGAAACTTCATGTTGTCATTTATATCTAGAGCCTCACTGGCCCTAAATTTTATATCAGTATTCGAGTTACAAAAAGGGACAAGGGGAAAAAAGTCACCCAAGTTACTTGCTCAAGAATATGTCTCTTTTCAAACTCAAATAGAACACCACCAAAATTTACCTGCCATTTCTCAAAACTTACGAAAATATCAAATGCAAGTATTGACCATTCCGTATTTCCCTAGGTGCTGTGCATGAAAACGGCATGATGAAACACCGTGTTTGAAGTTACGATGAACTCCTGCAAAACAGTTGTGATTGTACACACACAACACAAAGTTGGCGTATATCTTCCTTTTTCTTTAACTCGTGTACAGGTTGTCTAAAATGTACCTTTTTATTCAACCGCCGACCTTGAGAATCAAAACCTTGACTTAACACTGGCTTCAGTGTACACAGACTGACGTATGTGAAATGGCATAAATGATGACGTGATCTTGTGATTTATAAATAAAATGTAACTTGGATAAAGATGCAAGATGACTTGTCAAAGAAGATATTAGATTTTGACCATCTGAATTTCCAACTTTTTATTTCAATGACAGCTACAATTAAATTGTTTTCATTTAAACCCTCAAAATGCCCCTTCCTGTCTCAATTAACCTTGCTTTCAACTTTTGTTTCACTATTTTCAAAGGGCGCTCCAATTTATGCCTGTTTTGTTTTCACGGTACGAGCATTCCCATATTCAAGTACAACAGCCATGCTTTCCCAGTTAGGGTTGGGGCAAGGGTTACGATAATAGGGTTGGGGTTAGGGATGGGGTTGGGGTTACAGATAGGGATAGGGTAAGGGTTAGGGTTGGGGTTGTGGTTAGGGTTAGGTTCAGTGATATATAGGTTTGTGGCTAGGGTTAGGGTTAGAGTAATAGGGTTGGGGTTAGGGATAGGGTTAGGGTTACAGATAGGGTTAGGGGTAGGTTAGGGATAGGGTAAGGGTTAGGATTGGGGTTGTGGTCAGATTTAGGTTTAGTGATATATAGGTTTCTGGTTAGGGTTAGGGATATATATGTTTGTGGTTGGGGTTAGGGACAGTAGGGTGAGGGATATTCTTAGCGTTGGGGTTAGGATAGTGTGAGTGTTGGTGACTGGGTTAGAAAAAGGGACAGTTTGGGCTATATATCCACATCAAGATTTGACACAACTGAAAATACGACAACTCAAGTCAACATATTAAAAATATATTATAAAAATGACAGAAACAGTGCTTAGTTTTCAAGTAAAGAGGCTCGACTCACAGGGCAAAGTATCTGAAAAACTAAACCATGTATTAGATCCACCACACAACTGAACATTTTAATCCTATTTATCAGAACTGTTGGTGTTCCCGATTCACTCCCAACCCTGGAAAAAAATGGCCTGTGTGATACCATTAAGGTTGCATCCCGCGAAATGATCGTATTTCTGCGTGCGAGCTCATTGATGTTTTGTGATCCCACGGGATTTTTACAATAAAACATGCCATAATCAGGAGGGATCACAGAAACATTTTTATAAATCCCGAATTAGTAGTTTCTAGTTCGGGTTATTTCTTTCACAAAAAGCCCGAAATTGCGGGCCTATTTGAAAAGACAATCAGAGCTGGGCGAACAGTTTTACTATTTTGGATATATCTTTGGGAAAAGGCGAATAAAAATAAATCGTGGGTAAAACCCATAAAATTGAAACGAAAAGTGATCTACTGGCCATAATCTTGAATTTCCGATGAAAAAACGGAGACACAGCTCCTCCGAGAGTCAACAGGCGGCGCTATTTCGCTCTGATTTTTCACTGCTTTCTATGCGTGCACTGAACTAAAGGAAGTCCCTTTGAAGACAAGATAAAATCGACCACGTTTGCAGCCCCGGAGCAGGCAACCAAAGTCCTTCGGGCCTCTTAACCCTCCCCCCCCCCCGCAACTTGAAAAAAAACAGAGTGTTCTTGGGTCATTCAGCTTTCTATTGATTTCAATTTTAAGTACGTTACTCAATTTTGTAACAAAAGAGATAAATAATGCAAATTAAAACTATATGTAGCTAATTTGCTTGCTTTTGAAAGATAATTGAGCCAATGTCAATACATTTTTTACTGAAATAAGATAGAAATAAAAAAAACCGATTTTTTATAAAAAATTGCCAATCCTAATGAGAGCATAATACAATAAATTCTTTCTTGCTGTAGAGAAAGAGAAAGCTGCTTTTGAGTTGACGTTTAATTAAATCTTCAAATTTATGACGTGGTTTGGAAATACAGATTTTCACACTGCAAGCTCTTTACCATCTCAGCGCTTAAAATCCACTGCTTTTTGACTACATTAGCATAGGCTGCTTCAGTCGTGAATTAAATTAATGTATAAGTCCATGCCACATCATCCAAAGCTGTATTCTTCTTTTTTGTAACGGTAGGCTGTGATGAAAGCTAATAAAGCCAAGTGCAAGGCAGATAAGGCCGCGTCTGCTGTTCACTGAGGATGCTGTAGGTGATGTCAGACGATTGGATGCATGAACTCAGTGAGCCAATAATTTTTTTTTAATTAAGAACCAGTTTCTGTGGTTATTTTTTTAAAGTTCATATCAAATTCAGACTTTGCATGGACAAATCTGAAGGTGAAGTCATTACGTGTATATGTTATTTGGAAAATTTAGTGACATTATCGTGACATCAAAAATTCTAGAAATTTCATCAAAGACAACATTGGATAATCACAAAAATTGCTGCATAGGTAGCACTCTACCCAGAATGCTACCGTAAATTTAGGAATATAAGTCGTCGCTTATAGGTATTTGATTACGTCACGCTGAAAAATGTCTCTGCCGCTTATACGCCGTACGGCATATTGGCAAACTTTGAAGCCCTTTTTTAAGTCACAAATGTAAACGCCGCCCCGGGCCATGCGTACCATGTGAAGGTGGCTCAGTCATTTAAAGAGATTTAAAGGATATATTTATCTCAGTATCTTAGGAATTAAGTGCCTCATCTGATAAAATGTTATAGGTTGACTGTTGCATTCAAGTTTGACATGGCAATACATTATCAACACTATTTCGCACGACATTTCCCCTGAATGGGGTAACAATTATGTAAAGTATAATGCGTGTCTAAAAACGAAAGCCATAAAACCGAATATTTTAAAACTTATGTGTCATTCATTTTCACGGATTTGAATGCTTACCATTTTGATTTTATATTTAGTGGAAGTCTCATCATACTTAGTATGGATTGAATTGTTAGAGCTTCAAATTTTGTAAAGAGCAGCCTATATCATGAAAAAAGAAAAAAATAATGTTCAGGTTGGGTTTGTTAACGGGTAGAATACTTCCTACATTGTACACTTGATCCTTGAAATTGAGAGGTCAACATTTTTCTCTCGTTGGACTTTGACCTTCATGATGTTGCATAAAAGAGCTGGTATAATGCTGCATCGGGAACTCATTTGGTGATAATAAAAACAAATGAAGAATGATGTAGATGGATACTTAATTTCTGAAGGTGCTATCCACTTTTACATGTATGTGTAGTTATAAAACTACTAAATCTGTTGACCGGGTATACGCAATTAGCTTGGGCTTAGCTTGGTCAAGGTTGTTGCTTGCAAGGTCTGCTGTGTGGGGGATTTTTTTTTTATAAAAGGAGGTAGTACAATGTTAATATTATAACACGGGCTGCAGTTATTTGTACAGCTGTGTTCGTATTACATCACAAAATGATAACTCCTTTGTTTCAACCTTCATGACTAGGGATTTGAATCGTTGGCTCGAGGAGACTATATTGACTTATAGGTGCTTTGGTGTCTCTCTTGGATTCTTCAATCTCTTTATCTTACCTTGCCAGGGAACACTTCCAACAATCTGTAAATGACTTTTACGGCAGTATTACGTTTGTTGTTACATTTGTTGGAGAATATGGTCACTTTAAAGTGTGTTTCTATTGAGTAGAATTACCAGATGTTAATGATCAGTAGCTAAGGTGTTGCTTAGAACCTTCTAACATATTCCATGATGTCTAAGCGGACAGAGGCTTTCTACTGTTCCCTGATTTCTACTTAAAATGTGGTGTAATTCTTAAAATGTGCTGAGTTGGAGCAAAGGTACTATTATTGGCACAATATCACTTTCAAAGAATGGTTCTTATATACATCCAAATGTGAGTCCTATGTTTTTATGGAGCAAAATTTCTTTCACTGGAGCAAGAATTTCATTCGTTGGCAATACACACTATGCAATTTTAAACGGGGAATAGTAAATCTGTGCATTTTTTCATTCATTAGTTCAGTGAGCATTTTAAAATTACTTTAACAGAGTGTAGACAGGCGTGGATTTTTTTATGCCTAGTTTTGTTGACCATGGGAGAATTTTAAGGGTATACCTGTGTGTATATTGGAAATGCTTTTTAGACGTATGTTATTTATTCAAGTGAAGAAAAAGTCTTAACAAGTGTTTGGTTTTCCTATGTTCAGTCTGGTTTTAATATGGAAATTGTTTGATATTCACATTTGATTCATAACAAAATGTATCAGTAAGGAAAGATCAACTGCTGTGTATCTGGTGCTTTATTTCAAATTTAACCCTTGGCTTTAATTTGAACATTTTGAAACTTTAAAATAGACTTTCTTAGTCCCCCGTCTTGTGAGGAAGACAGGATCACAAGGAAAGAGGCATAGTACAATAAAAGTTATGATTTGGCTTTACAGTCCACGGTGCTAAATATAATGTTTCATAATACTGGGCTGATTACATTGTGTATAGAATACTGCCCATGCATGCACTATTAACATAGTTTAGACTTAATTTTTGTTAATTAAATAACTAATGATCAAACCCGGATCAGTGCAAAATAGTGCCTTTAATACATATTACTACATTTTCTGAACAAGACTATTTTTGTAATGTACCAATTTTGGGTAACACTAGCTGGGGGCTGCAATAGATCGATTGCGCCCGTTCAATCGAGTGACCTATATTGGGTAACATCCTCATAGCAACGTGATATTACCCAGCACATCAGTAGTCTGAGTGCGGTACCAACTGTCGGCTTTATTCCTGGTAAATGATACTTATGGAACTTACTTTTGATGCTTTGCTTTGTTGATATTTAATACTCACTATAGGTCACGTGAGTTAGCTGGTACAATTGGTCTGTTGACTGCACAGAGTAAGTTCTGGTGACTACTGGTGTTTCTTTCAAAATATTTGGTCATGGAGGACAAGAATAGTTGCATCCATGTAGCACCCATTTCTACTTCCGATAGATGTCTGCTCTACTACAAGCAGTAGCTATGTTCACACATGGCCTGAGTCAATAACCGTACTTTGGAAAAGCAAGGTGTATAGAATAGTGGCAAATTTCGTGGCTGTCTTTTCAAATAGAGTGAGAGCAGCAGTAGTTCAAAAATGGTTCTGAATTTTGAATAGGCAAAATGGTATTTCCAGCATTTACACTGCCTAATTGTCCTTGCAAGAAAATCTTATTTTTTGTGCTGTCTTTCTGAAAAGTAAATCACCAAGATTTGTTTATTTGCACCTTTGTCACGATGATGAGATGATTTGTTTGACAAGCAATTTACTCTTTGGACGCTGCAGCCATAGGCATGCAAAGCTTCGATCTCGATCTTTATACGAGCCAGCTCAGTGATTCCCACGTATGCTGCTTCATAATTCTGCGAGTGGTGCGTCAGCTCTTATACCATGCGATCTGATAATATTTGAAAAGCTGAGTTGACGTGATTGTGACTAGATTCTACCAGCTGCCAGATCGAGATCTGCATGCCTTTGGCGGCACCGTGCAAAGAACGAACACTGTGGGCTGTGTGTAGCTTTGCCTTCACAGTTGGTAGACGCTTGAACATCATCAATATGGCTTCCATGTATGTTGGCTGTTTGTGTACATTTATATGAAAACGGTCCTAGTCTTGCAATGAGCACCGTTTATATGTAAGAACTAGCATGATCATTCATTGACCTTCTTGTTTCGTAATTCACTGTCTCTTGCACACAGGAAGCCCATTGTTCAAGAATTCTGCATGAGCATTACAATATTCGTTGCTTACACTGTCTGCATAATACTAGTTATTGTAATGTAACTATAACCTTAGCAGCCCCGCTTTCATCAAGAACTCGTATTTTATGCAGAGGCCGGGTTTTTTTTTTAGAATAAAATGCGTTGATACCTTGGAAACTGGCTCCTGATAACATGTGTGTCATTATAACCACATCATTCTAACATCAGTTCTCAAGCTTTCAATTTTTGTGTCAAATTCACAAGTCTTAAACAATTCAGCGAAAAGTTCTGTGCTATATGCCGTGCTTGTTTCACCAAATTTGCCCAAAATTTTACTGACTTTTGACTTAGTTCTACAAACCTACAGATTTTAACCGTATCTTCTATAAAATTTAATGCAGCGGTAGTCCCCTGCTACAATTGAAGTTGGTAGAGCTAAAGCGTGTCATCAACTCCCAAAGGAATGAACCTTCGGTCGAATTGATCTAGTGCACTTTGTCTTTATGCATTTTTTTCTTTGATTTCTGCGGCTTTCTTCTCCAGGCTGTCCATCAGGACTTGCATCTCTTCCTCTGTGCATCGTGTGAAATCCATGTTGGGCAGGTAACGGTGCGTAACCTGTCGATCTGAAAAATAAAATGACCTTTGTCATTTGTAGCTGTATGGAGCGAAAGCACTTATTAGCTCAATCATAAACCTGTGCAGTAACCTGTATACATGACCCTTCTATCCTGAAAACAATCTCTTGTATGCTGTTTTAAAGAACAGTTTTGATTTAATTCAACTACAGTTTGCATGCATGTACTGGTTTTCTTTCCTGTGATAATTGACGAATTTTATTGACGGAAAGCACCTCATCCCAGTTAACCCACATTTGCACATCAGCACGCGCGCACAAGGAAACTCACTGCATAGTTGCCCAAGCTACACCTCCGTGCCCACTGCCTGCGTGTCCCTTCAAAGACTCTTCCTATTTATTTTATTTTATGTTTTTCAGCGACGCGTATGGTGTGTATCACGTGTGTGTATAGCTGTATAGAATCATTACAGTCAGTACAGCAAAGGAAAGGTACAGCAAAAACGGAAAACTAAAAAAAATTTAAAAGACGTCAAATTCGAGAACTTTTTGGATAGCTCGAATGCAGTAGACACTGTGTGTTTTTTTGGCTGCCAGGACACCGTGTGTTTTTTTGGCTGCCACAACAGTTTGATAAAGAAATGAGCTCCAAACCTTGTCTATAGAAAGCAGGTCATATTTGCTGGGAACCAGGCGATGCACGTCTTATTCCACAGACAGTTTATTACCACGAATCAGTTGATTTCTCTTCCCCAGATATTTCGGTGCCAAGCTTGACCTCATTTTCATGGGTAGTAGAGTGCCCTGTACAAGCCCTCAAGTACCACGTTGCTGACACTCGGCCATTACGAGGCGATATCAAGCAATTGTTCCTCACAACCATATCATCCAGCCACGTTACCCGGACTCTGTGACCACAATCGCTAGTTGGATTTCCAAAGTAATAATGAGTCCTTCTAATAATCCAGCATCAAAATCTGTGCCGATGAAACACACAGCGTGGGCTCACCTGCTTGGAGTTTCTATTTCAGATACCATGAAAGCGGCCTTATTGAAGAACGCAACTACTTTCACATCATGCTACTTAAAAGATCTGGTTCTAGCTGAACGGCAGTTTATGGAGCATCGAATACAGAAGGCTAGACCTTCTTCTGGATGGCACCTTTTTCTGGATGTATTTTTTGTAATTATCCTTATGCACTTCCTGTACCATATTTGTATGAATGGAAATATAAACAAACAGACTTATAGGTAAGAAAGTCCTCCAGGAGGTCGCCCGATCAGCGGCCCTAACAACCTGAACTGCTACTCAAAACTTGAGTAGAGGTGAGTGTTTTCTTACAAGAATGGCAAACCTCCTTGGATTTTGGGAACTCTTTGGCAGGATGAAGCCAAAGGGCTAGCCCTTCTCTTTGCAGCCCGCCCTTGTATTCAAAGTTACCAGTCTTCCTCTCTCATGGATACAATATTGTTGTCTTGTACTCACCAAAATAAAATTGACCGTTCGTTTGAGTTGTCGCAGCTTTGGCAAGACTCAGCCATACCAGAGTGTCAGCTCCTTCCTCCGGTGTCCTGTTTACTTTATCGTGGAGTACAGGCCAAACAGACTTTAACAATTCCGTATTTACTACACCGGGATGCATTGCCGAAAACTGAATCCCGGGGTACATTCGGGCCCACATTTCTGTCATGATGATCACACAACGCTGTTTTAGAAAATGAAGCATGTGTTAGATTTGACGAGTAAATACCTTCACTAATCACTGTCATAGATGGAGGGTTTGAGGTGGCATCTTACAGGCATGGTTCCAAGAGGAACTAGTTAAATACAAAAGCATCCGTCTCTAATCTTTCACCTTGGGAAGATCTACACATTGTTTTAACTGAGCAGACATATTTTTCATCTTCTGTTACCTAGTTGTTGAACAAAGTTCGAAACTTACTAAGCACGGATACGTTATGTTTGTAAAAAACGCAACCAGCCAAACATTCATCTCTTATTAATAAACTCCTCCTTATCTCATTTTTGTTGAGCACATTCTGCTGAAGTATCGAGTTTTATCATCATTTTAACGAGCGCACAAAATGTAGTCATGGGAGTGGTTGAGAGCATCTACGCAGCTTTCATAGACTGTGAAAAATGACGACTGGTCATCATTTTTCTTTCATACTCTTGTAGGAAGGGGGTGGGGTAGGAAAAAAGAGTTACGATTTGTAATGCGCTTATGGAAATGTATGCCACAGTTTAAAATGTTAGGCAGAAAAGTATACCTCCCCTTCATTATAGATTCATTAAAAAAAAACTTTTTTTAATAACTTCGTTGTTATTCATGAAGTTTGCAACCAATGATTTTGAAGGATCCTCAGCGGGCCCCACGGCTTACTTTATTCTTTTGCTAGCCTTTGCCAAGGAAGCATCTTGTTGATAGTGGTTCTCTTCCCACACTCATTACAGAATAAAACAAACTATGAGATCAACATAGTTTACCAAGTCCTCTTGGTGTACTTAACTGACTCTAACGACACCAAGAGTCCCATGAAGACTATGATAGAATAACAAGGATGGTGTTGATAATGACCTTGGTGTGTCTGTAGCAAACATCGGCGTTATATGGTTCCATCCGTTCACATTGCAAATCTGAGAAATTTCCTTTGTCATAGTAGGCTCCAGAAGATGAAACACATATCTGCAAGAAAAAATGGAAATGCCATCTAAGGGCTTCATCTTTGGAATGGTAAGTCTTCCCAATCTGGTTTAGAAATCTTCTCACTTTTAAGATTATGAACATAAAGTTTCATGTATAAGTAACCCATTACTTTCCAGGTTCAGGAGGGAAAAAACATTTGTTTGCTTCGTGCAATAACACTACATGGAACCAATTTTCGGGATATTTATCGGTGGTGGAGTTTTCTTAAAAGGACTGAGCTTAAGACTTTAATTATCAATTCACGCAAAAAGATTATTTGAATCACCGTAGATGAGACTTTCATAAGAGGATGTTCGATTGTCAACTAAGGTGAAGTGGTCTATATATGTTTTTCACCAGAGCTTTTATATTCTTGTCGCTATTCCGCACTGTTTTTCTTATGAACACATAATTCGATTGGTTGTTATTGAAGCGGGGAGATGTCATTACCGGTTTTGTGCGCGTCACCTATTTTCATTCGTGTTTCAATGTTAGCCTTACAATGATGAATCTCCATGGTCAATGACGAATGAAAAAACCTAATATAAATGATAAAGTTTAGGGCTTACTACTCTGGCTTCTCCGGTCTTGTGGAGAAGCGGGAAAAGTGTTGTTGTCAGGACATACGGCGCCATTGTGTTAACAGCATAACACACATTCAATCCATCTTCCGTCATTTGTCGTGTTCGCGGTTGGCATGCAGCACAGTTGATCTGGAATAAACCGACAAGAGGCAATCGCAAGAAGGTACGAGCACTTTAAATTGAGGCATACTAAAACTACAGAGAAAGGAAAACCAGCATGATCAGACACTTTCCACATCATTGCTGGTCATTCTAGCCTACGCGCTGAATCATTTTGTTCACACTGGTTACAATTTCTGTCGTTCTGAATCACTATACAGTGAAAATGACAATGCAAATTTTGCATCCTACTTACCAAAACATCAAGTGCATTGTGGCTCTCAACAAACTGCTTGGCAAATTGGTACACATGAAGGGTCTGAGACAAATCCAGCACGTGGATATACAAGTTCTGAAAAAAAAGGCAAGAGTCTATTCGTCGGAAAGTTCAATATTCTTGGACTGTTGGCTGTCCATATTAAAAGAAAACATGTTTAACTTGTGTGATTTTGCTCCTCTTGCTGAATTGATTCACACCAAAGACTTAACTTTATTTGAATTGATTCTGTTGGTTACTATCACATGGAGCTAATTGGTATTTATTTATTCAAGTTATAAGAGCTGCAGCACGCGGGACCGGGGAGTTACAAAAAATCAAAATAATGCTGCCACTTGGCGCACTTCATTTCAGCGCCCAGAACGCGTACGCACAACTGCCCCATGATGATTCACTAGCGCCCTCATCATTCAGTGCGCGCGCGGTCCTCGTGACGTCAAATAGTCTAAGCGGATGTGGCTAATAATACGCGCTTATTGGTGGATTGCCACATCATATAATGTATTATGTATCACAATGTTTTTGCCAAATAAGTTTTCACGTGACATCACTCAATTGACGGGCAAAAACAGTTCAGGAAACGTTCAAAGTCTATGGCGACGCGTGTATTTACGAGTGTGAGGCTTTCTATAGACTTAAAACATAATGACGTAATGCAATGCTTACCGCTATGTATTGTGGGGTTAGAAATCAAAGATGGCGGACACGATGCTTTTGCGCAACTTTAGACGCAGCAAATCTACCTTGCTCTGTTATACTTGACAGTATAGTAGAAGACATCAAGTGATGGCTTAAGTGTAGGGGATTTACCTCAATCGGAGTGAATCGAATAAAACTTTCTGCGAAAGGTAAGCGTGGGTTTAATTATTAATATTCCATGCGCATGATGTTCTAGCAGCAGCGCGCGTTACGTGTCGTGACGCTCATCCCCACCATTCATCCACAATGCACCACGGTAAACATTGTGCGGCGTCATTATGTTTTAGGTTTATCAGGTTCATGACTTCGTCACAAAGGCAGACACGCTACGATTTGCGGGCTCCAATTGGACGATCGCCGAAGTTGCGTTAACTTCCGGTTCCATGGTTCACGTAAACGGAGAACAATGCCTGTAACTCTGTGTGCAGTGAATGCGCAGTGGGCGTGGTTTAAACTGAAGTGACGTCACACTTACGAACCGGAACTGCAATTTCATGTTCGCCATAATGCTGAGAGACTGCATGTGAAGGCGCGCTTCAACTTGAAAAGTTAAAGAGTATATCTTACCTTATTCCCGCTTGCCTCCATGATCTCCTTGCGGGCATCTTCGTCTGCAAACTGACACAGCATGTGAATAGTGGCCCCTGTAAAGTAAAACAGCGAAAATATTTTAACAAGTGAAACACACTGGGAAACTGGAATGTGTTCAAGGACTTAAATCCCTCGTGTCTCTTTTCGCCTTTTTTGTAGCTAAGTGACCGTGACAAAGAAGCAGTCTTACTCACATTCATGCGGCTGAATTAATGAAACACATTTCGCTCTACGATTCATCTTGGCCTCTACTATTTTTGCAAGCCCGATCAGGCCTTATCCCAAAGAGACTCTTTGTCCCGACAATTTATGCATGTATAGGTATTCGTTGCTCATTATTTAACTTTTTTATTCTTTGTCGTATGATCCTTGTATTTTTCTATGTTGATCTCTTTTGGTTTTGGAGGGAGAACGGTTTTAATTGTCAGCTGGTGAATAGCCCCCGGCACTTAGGTCGAAAACTGTGAGAGTTAAAATCAAGGTTTCTCTCCTATTGTCAATTCTGAAGTTTTTGCCCAAGCCGATCGGGCATACCAGTACTTCCTTATGGGGAAAAAACATGAAATCACCCACTTTTCAAATCTACATCTAAATTCTCAATCAAAAAGGGTTGATCTGCATCCCATAGAGTAGATGAATCACGGAGCTAGAAAGTCTGAATTAGGTAGTCCCCTTTCGAAAACGTGGCTGTCTTAAACTGGTCCTGTTTGGTAATGTTTGTGATCGATTCAGATAAAGCGTTCAATGAGGTAGTGTTGATAAGAGGAAACTGTTGCTGTACATATTGCTCACTATGGAGGCGATGGTAGAGGTACTGATGTGATGCGATGTGTTCTTATCTGTAGGGTCATGTCGAGGTTGATGTCAACATTCTATGGGTGATATTTATAGAATATTGTTAATTTGGTTGTCATTCTTCTAAGTTCAAGTAATTACTGTCAACCTAGCTCCTGCAACATAGTGATAACGCTGTCACCTTCTTGCGGCAGATCTCTGGATATCCTCTGGCTGTCTTTCCCAGCCACAATTAAGTACCATAAGGCTGGGCGAACCAAGGACTGTACACGTGAAAGCTTAACGTGATTATTACAAATTTCTCCCATCTAAAATCTCCCCATGTCCCACATCCTTTTCGGAGAAAAAGTTAATGGGACCATGTGTCCCATGGGAATTGAAGTATCAATCCAATCATGTCTCCTACAGGTATTACCCCACTGATGACCATGCCAAACCAGTCATATACTGTTTTACCTAAGTCTGTGGCAGAGATCAATAGGATACGGCTACTAGGTAGCGCTTGAAGGTTTGCATGGCGGATCGACAATTAGTTAAGGATTTTTTTTTGCGGTTACACCATGTACAATATTCTCTTTTATGGGTATGTGTGGTTCTGAGAAGAACCGGTTTACTCAACGTTTCGGAACAGTATACTCTGTCCGTCGTCAGGAGACTGCTTGACTCCAACTTGAGTGTGGCTTTATATGCTGGGCATGTGCGGTGAGGTGTGAAAGATGGGATCCTGGCTGTGGGTGAACTGAGGCGTTTAGGCGGGAACTGTTGCTTGCTTGTATCTGTGGGTGGATGTGTTGCTGCTCATTCAGGTGTGTCAGTGTGTGTGGGACTGTTGAGGTGTGGTTGTCTGGGTATAGAGGACCCAAGTGGCAATACGCTAAGTGTCCTGGGGTATAGGGGACCCACTGGACAGGATGGGGCGCCAGATCTCACTGATGTGAAGGCCGATGTCTTGGGTGACTGTCTTGC